TAGCCTTGTCCACCAATGTTGTGACCCCAAATCTTGCTAGGAATTTGGATATCCGAAGCTGAAGCTTTTTCCAGGAATCTTTCCTTTTATCCTTCCCTCCCTATTCCAGTGTGTATTTCATTTATATTACACTGCCTGTGGTACAGCAAGGAGCCATTACGGAAGAAGCACAAAATACAACATGCTCTGCTTAGCATCACAGTAGAAAAAACAGAAATTCTGAAACACACAAGATGTAATTGGCCCAGAAACTGCACAACCTGTAGCCACCCATTAAAAACCATTAAAAAAATTCCAAAAAAGGGACCATTAAAAAAAAATTTCCAACAAACCCACAAGGGAGCTGCTTTTTAAAATCCCATATTCATGATAACCAGTGGATTCAACTAGATGGTTGCTTGTTTGTATCAGCTGAGTGTAAAAGAACAAAAAAAAGATGTTTTGTAGCTTATAGTCTTCCTTGAGTGTAACACAGGGCCCACAGGAGCACAGACAACTGTAATCAAGTAGCTGGCAGGCTAGCAAAAGCCAATGTTTGCCATCTGACAGAATTTACAGAGGATTTTGGCATGTTACCTGTTTTGATTTTGTCTGCAAAAATACGTTAAGAAAATGCACTCACTTTTCCCATTCCCAAATAAAACTTTTTCAGCTAGAAAGAAAAAACCCCAAACAAAAAAGCCAAACACCCCAAACACAAGCAAACAGCTATTTCCCATTTTATTTTTTTCTTTCCCAAATAGTACTGTTGAGGCTATAAAGCAAAGTAAATAGTATTTTAAAAATAAATATATACTTAACATTATTGCAGAATTGAGGAAAGGGTAATATAAAATAGCACACTCATCTGCTTTCAGTACCAGCTTTCTAAAAGAAGTTTAGTCCACGTTCATTTCCAATACCTTTTTTGAAAGGACATTGACTTTCTTCACAAAGAGAAAGGAACTGATTTGTTACAAGGTACATACTACACACCTGTTCTTTCAAGTGTGATTTGATAAGATTTCCCATAACTTCCTTTAATTCTCTCCTTCCTTCTCCCCTTTTGCCTTCATCCCACATATACAGTGTTCTGAATCAAGCCTGTACATCAGCTGTGTAATACAAAAGCCCATGGAACCGCAAAAGGTAGTTATCACTCCAACACACCTGAAAATGGATCCAGCCATCAACTGTCAGGAGACGCTCACGATGCTGGACTTCGATATCCCCACCAAAAAGCAAAATGGGAAAAGGGGATATTAAAGTAGTCTCTCTCAAATATACCTTAGTGTACCTCACCTGCATATAAACAAAAACAAGCATCAAAAAACAACAAAAAAAATCCCAAACCACATAAAACCTATTTTAAAACCAAATTTGATTGCTACTTAAAAAAAAAAAAAAAAAAGCCTTTTTCCTTTTAAGATCCAATCAACACAAGCCATTGTACACGTAACAACTGATGGCAATTTGTCTACCCTAGGCCACATAAAATATATCACCTCTAAGTAACTGAAAGACTTAAAAGCTATCAGGAAATTTAAAGCCACAATTATATTGTTAAAATTAAAACAGAAAGATAATGTTAGCCTTGTGCTGCTCAGAGAAGAGGCATAAAAATTAAACTTACTAAAGTAAAAGGCCGGTAAAACACTTCCATTATACATTCTTCCTAGAACCAGCTAGCTCGTCAATCTATCTACATCCACATACACACATACAGAGTAAACTGTGTCTCAGCATCTGCTACGTCTGGCCTTGGAGTCTCTCACAGACAAAGACAGATGGCGATGGGAAGGAGTTGTAGTGGTAGGAAGGGAAACAAGAAGAGTGCATCTTCACACAGAAGCGCAGGCTTTGTTTGTTTCACTGTTCATGAGGCAACTTACCTACCACAGCTGCTGCCTTGCACTTACACTACAAGGTACTTGGGGACAGGAAATGTTTTCAGCTCTTCAAAAAAAATACTATCACTTCATATATGTTAAGAAGTGTAATGTAATTTCATGCTCCTCTACAGTAAAGTTAGCCATTAAGCAAATGCTGTCAGAGTTTTATTGTACCAGAAGTTTAACTAAATATAACCACTTGAATTTAGCAAGTAGTTGACAAAATTTTCACTTGGGAGAGGGAGGGAAGTGATAGGGGGAAAAAAAAAAAAATGCAATTCACTTAGGAAATTCAACACTGGCTGAATTTCAGTTACAGAATTGGCTACTTTAAGTCCTCACCCTGCAAAACCAGAACAGTCCTTACTGGGGATACCAAGTTTCCAAATTTTAGAGTCTGTTTAGAAGAGTAGAAAAGGAAAAGCATACTTTGAAATGTTATTACTACATATTACTGCTTGAAGTGATCACATTAGAATCAATAGCACTGCATTAAATAAACTTAAATAGTATTCTACTATTAAGTTAAATGACACAAAGAAAGATACTTTCATTTATAGCTACCAGTTTCACTATGAACAGGTTTGTTAATGAAGTTCAGCCTTAACTGCTTTTCTTCAGTACTCAGTTTACTCACTTTTATGGACTTTAGGATCATTAGATACTAAAGACACTTAAGATTAACAAGACATTCAGATACACCAGTGTAAAGTGTATGTTATTTAATACTAGAGGCATAACTCCACCTTTGCACAAACCATCAGCTACATTCACTTACCTTCTCCTGGTAAAGGAGCCATCCGTAGGTCTGCAAGTCTCGATTTACCGAGGAGGGATGCACTTGAGCTTTACCCTGAGCAGTTTCTACAATGCAAGCCAGCTTCTCTGTAATATCCACAGACTTTGTATATATTATTTTTCCTATGTTGTCATACAGCCCAGCAGTCAACACAGCTTTAAGAAGAGCTATTTCATGGAGAGAAAGGGATTGTGTGGCTCCACTTCCATCCCATCCACATTGCATTGTAGGTGCTGTGAACCCTGCTGCTCTGACCACCCTTATGAGTTCTTGCTTGACATCCTGAAATTAGTAAGGTATTAGTAAAATTCTGAATTTAAAAAGGTACATACTCCAGTCCATCAGCAGGCAATGACACTCCATCACAAATATTCATGCTCCCCATCTCTTACTAGAAAACCACTTGTGTTTTCTGCAACCACTTTGGAATATTGGCTGTTTCTATGAGAAAAACCTTACATGGAATATAGGATTAGACAGATGGTACTCTGTACACTGCAAATACTAAATCTCTCATCTGTAATTAAAATAAAAAGATAGATTTGCATCAATTACTCACTTCAGCTTAGGAGAGCTCAGTCACTCAAACTTAAATAGGAAAGACAAATTAAAACAATTTTCTTACCAAAAATAAAATGTCATTTAAATAAGTTTGTGGCTCATCTTTCAAACTAACTGTTAACAGATCTGTTCTTCAATATCAAGAATTACACAATCTAAGTATTTTAATTCATAAGTTTTGATTCTCTGGTAGAAGTAAGGACAGCTTCTCCAATGGCAGTGACTGCAAAGATGTACACCAACAAAGTGGGCATATCAAAGCACAAAACCACAGACACAGCTACCTCAAGTGAGGTAGCTAGCATTCCAGTCCCCAGCATTCCACTTGGTTTTGTCTTGTCTAAATCCTAACTGTGAGGGAAATTTTAACAGGTATCTTCTGAGTGCAGAATATAATTATTCTGTTTACCTCCAGAGTTAACAGTGAAGTCCTATTTAGGAAATTCCTTCTGCAATAAGTAATTTCAGCACGATATCCTCCTTCTTGTCGAGCCTTTTTCCACCTAAGAAAAAAAAAATCCTGTCTTATTACAGCAAAAAGAACCACATTAAGAGTATAACAATACGACAGCAGTAATAAGTTAAAAGGCAATACTGTGTTTTGGTCAGCATTCTCTTCTCAAAACTAGAAATAAGTGGCATTAATGAAGATGAATGCTGCTGGTCTAAGAGCACCCCAGAGAACACGTCTGTAACATAAAATTCGACAGATACTAACAAAAACACAAGGTAATTTTCTCTCAAAAGTTAAATACTTTTGTCTGTCTTGAGAGTTGAAACAAAATTGAGGTCTCCATTTTGAGACTTAATGATAGTATCCAAAAAAGAATATATACCTATACATTTTATAATATATACATTTTTACTTTCTCAAATACAAAATATTCAGGTCAGCATAGCACAAAGAGCAAATAAAATACTTTAAGCACTAGGATAAACAGATACAGTACACCTCTGTATGTGTGCAAGCACAGTTAAAAGGAGTTAAAGGATAAGGTACTAAGCAAGCTATCCTTTTGTGTTACAGTATTTAGTAATCTATCACTATTCTGAAGAGAAAAACTTCAGGTGCAAGCAATTCAAGAAGAGACACTTATTAAGGATTTTTTACAGAGCCACATTACTTAGAACTGTTATCTGCATCTAGTTCTAAGCACAGAGGAATTGTCGTTTACCCCAGATAAGCATTGTAGATTGTTATATGGTCCGAAATTGCCATTGCTAGAGATGATTTTGCAAGATCTGCTTCATCTTTTCGACCAATTGGTGTAGTAAATGGGGATTTTTCTGTCATAACAGCAGCCAGGGTTGCCTGCAATTAGTAAAGCCTGAAATTAGTAAAGTACACATCACTTATTTTATTGTAAGTTTACAGGTTTATAATACAAATAGCTTTAAATTTTTTAATGGTAATTTTTAATTTTTAATCATACTTCATTTTATCTTCTACTAAGTCTCAAGGAAAGCTTAATACCGTAAGAATTTCCTACACAGAATTCAAATCTACTTATATTAAAGACATGGCTGACATAGTGCCTTATGTACACCAATTAAAAAAATTATTAAATTGCAAAACTTAAATGAAACAGTTTGTCAAATGACAGAGCAATGCCCGATACATGGTGAAGGTCGGATTAAACAACTCCTTTGGATTACATGACATTAACAGAAGAAATTCAGAGAAGAAAGAATTTTAACTTTCAGTTTTCAGCAACTAACATACCCATGCTTCCTCCTAATTTGCAGAATCAGGATTAGGTGAAAGTATAAACTATGCCACTGTATTCACATAATAAGTTACCACACTAATTAATTTTACATCAGCATATTCTTGGCCCACATATGCTGTGGGGTAATGCAGACTGGTCTAACCCACATGTAAGAGAGCTTTTTCTGCAAGGGTCATACTCCCTGGGAACATAACAGACAGAACTGGAGACCAACTCTGACTATCCTCTTCTGAATAGTACCTAGGAGTTTAAGAACACCTAAGCTGTTGTCCTCCATGATGTCCAGGTGCCCTTATCTTAAAATAAAGATTTTAACTTTTTATATCATTGTTTCAAAATAGCATGTTGCAAGAAATCAGATTAATTGTAGAGAGTTAACCATTTCTATACTTTTTTAAAAATTTAGTTGTTTTTTTTTTAACTCACCACAGGATCCAAGCAGCCAAATATAGCACCAAATATAAGCATTTTGCCAATCTTTACATTGACAGGAAGGGCTGCAAGGTGCTGGCCCAATGGAGTCAGCTTGGGCTCGTTTAACAGACAAGCCCCAATCTTCCTCAACAGGTTCATTGCATTACCAATTACTTGCTGCTGTGGCGGGTCTAATGCTCTGGAAAGGAAATCTTCAGGAGAGCCAAGATTGCATTTCTGTGGAGTGAATGGGCATGTTTAAATATAAAAATTTATAACAAACTTTTATGGTAGACACAAAGGAAACATGAAAGCTGTTCTTCCAATTAAAACCTCACATTCCCTCCCCTTTAAACCAGCCTCTTGGACGCAGACGTGCCCCACACTTGGTTAACAAAACTTCATTGCTTGAAAGGACTTTGTATGGCATGATAACTAATCAGAGAAGCATGTGACCAATGGTCACAGATGAACAGGAGACTCTCAAACCTGCTGAGACACAGCTCAAGCTGGCACTGATCTGCCAGGTTGCTAGTTTCCCTATGAATATCCTACTCAGTCAGGATGGAGAGAGAGGGAGCGAAATCGCTTCCTTAAGCAGAAATCAGTTTGAAGGCTATTTAACTAAGTTTGAATTACAATTCTGAGATAACCCTATTCTCACTCAGCAGCATGCTCTGGATTTTCCACAACACACAGGTACTGGGTTCCTCTCTGCCCTGGTGGGAGAAGCTCCACTAACTACACTGGATTAGGGGTATTCTAGCAAACCTTTTTAGCTAACAAGGTCAATGATTAAAAAAATAAATCCACATGACAGTATGAAATTGTAATCCTCCAAAGGTACACGTAATATTTTTCACTAACAAGGTCAGTAATTCAAGAAACAAAAGCATACCATAATGTGAAGGCATAATTCCTCCAAAGGCACACGTAGTATTTCTGGAACAGAATATTCCATGAAGCTTTCAAATCTGTAACATCATAAAAAACACAGTTTAATTTGAATTAAACTTGGAAATTCAGGTTTCACATGCTTATATATTTTGGAGATGTTCTTTTGTGGGGCAAGGAGTGGGGAGTGGCATGTGTTTTAATGCATGGGTAAACTACGCATCCTTTGAATTAAGGTGTGTGTGGCAGCTTGGAAAACAAGAATTCTAGTGAAAGAGGGAAAGGCAGTAAGACCCTAATTTTCAGAACAAATTCTTAAAATGCACAGCTCCCAAACTGAGTCTAACGTGTGGCTAAAATGCACACTTCATTGGTTATTTCAAAAGACTTTACCTTAACCATTTCTCAGCTGAAAGGTGCTTCAGACAAGCAGGGAAAAGTTTATTCAACTGCAGTAACAGAAACGAATTCTGTAGTGCTGTATAATTTTATATTTTCCCATTTCTTATCCACAGAGACACCACTTTAGAAACTCAGATTTGTCTGATAACAAAATCAAAGTTCAGGAAGGAAAGCTTGTGTATATCTGTTGCAGGGCAGAGATGTCAAAAACTTGTCTTCTGCAACGCTCTAGTGCTGCGCTTTCCTTCAGTTTTGAAAAATTTTTTGAAAACATACTATAGAGATACTAAGCATAAAGTTAACTTTTTTAATCATGAAACAAAGTGTTATAACACTTTATTCATAAGATATTCAAGTTATGTGTATTTTTTTTTAGTTTGCAGCAACTAAAGTGAATTTCAACAAGATTTCTCGTTTTTAAACAGAAAAAAAGAGAGAAATATTTATGTGATGTACAAAATCTTGCTAAGTTTACAGTACCTGTCTCTTGTGTACATTCGGAAGCAGAATCCATCCCTAACACGCCCAGCTCTTCCTTGTCGCTGCAGAGCACTAGCTTTACTAACAAAGGTCTCCTCCAGGGAACTCATCTGACTACTTTCGTGATACCTTAAAAATTGTAAAGCAAGTGCCCATTTAGATTTCGGAATTAAAATTTTGATGAATACTTAACTTAAATACCAGCACGTTGATATTATATCTAAATAGTATTTACATGAAAATACTTTATTTAGTTTTGAGAGTTAAGCATACCTGGGGGAAACTGTGTATCATAGAACCTCCGATACAAATGACTAACAAAAGTATAAAAATTGGAAAATGAAAGAGCTATTTTATTAATTCATTACTCTAGCAATTGAAAATTGTTTATTCTAACACATTCTGTAAGGCTTTTCACATTTAAAATGGATAGAAAAAGAACTTCTAAAAACTGAGATAGTATAAAAAGGATCTACTTTGTCTTTAAACTAGTACTTAATCATGATTCTTCATATCTGTGAAGAACCTCCTTTCGCATCATTTCATCAAATGATGTTGTTCTTCACATCGTTTGAGAATCCAAAGATGCATCCCAAATTTGTACCTGAACTGCAAGCTGTTCAATGAGCTCAGCACGTTTTTTTTGTCCAGTAGTTTAATAAGGATACCAAAAAACTCTTGCAGTACTCTAACCTACAAATATTTACAGTAATCACACTGTGACTGATGAAAATCAAACTCTCACCTATTTTCTTTTGTTCTCCCGGTATCAATCACAAAGACAACATCTGGTATCGTAATACCCGTCTCCGCTATATTGGTTGCCAAAACAATCTGAAATGAAGTAACAAAAAGAATAGAACAATTATGTAATGTCTAACAGCTTTCATTCTTTTCATCAATATTATAGAGTAAGTTTGGTTAAAGTGTTCTACGCAGAAATGTTTCCTTAAATAATCTGACACAGCATTAAAAACTACACAACTTGGAAAACGGTTTAGTCTCCTACTGAGGAATCAAAAGTTAAGTGAGAATTCTGCATTCACTTTTTGTCTTATAATACATCAAAATTGCTAACTAGTACCTGACAAAATTGGTTAACTTTTAATTAAATAGTTTGGCAGTAAGTAAAATACTATTTCCGTAGATAAACACTATCGTTACTGATTAAAAATAGTTAAAATACAGGTAAGCAATAATTAAATAAGCTCTTGGAAAAATATTAAGTTAAAAAATTTGTCTGATTACTGTCAAGGTTATCACAGCGTGGTAACTTCTATCTGTTACAGAGCAGCAAATAAGAACTGTTTCTTTGCACTCAGAAAATCTGAGGAACAACTGGTTGTTGTGGAATTCAGTATGATTTGATTTTAAAACAATTCAGAGTTGCACCCACAGAAAGTTTCTCCATTCAGTAGTCAACTTTGACTTTCTAAATGTATCATACCTTTCTAATACCAATAGGAGGTATTGTAAATGCAGCTGCTTGATCTTGAGTTGAAAGAACAGAATGCAAAGCTATCAACCTGTGCCTAGAACAAGAAATTACACTAATCAATATGCAGTTATCAAATTAAGATACAGTAAAAAAATGAGAGCAGAATGATGACAACAGTTTGGAGAAAGCAACTAGAAGGGACACTTGAAAGAGTAAAACTTCGTATGATTAGGTATGAAAGTCTGCTCCGCTGTTTTATACACCTCACGAAAGGATAACACCATTAGTTCATAGGGCTGTTCCCCTATCTGGCAATAATACAGGAAAAATACTACTAGTGTAGAACTCTAGGTAAGTTTACATCAATAGACTCGCAAGAAAGGGAACTAGGTGTCCACAGACCCCAGTTCTTTACATTGTACTTCCCAGACAAGGTCCATTATTGAGCAACTTTCAGCCTGAGAAACAAAGGCCTTCAGAGATGAGACACAGAGATTAGTACTTATACTTTCATTCTCTTCTAGACCTTGACTTCTCAGCCTATCTACAAAACTTTACTGCACATCTTTTTATGCCATCATGTTGCTAACTTTTAGTTACCCACAAAATAAATTTTAAAACTGTCTGTCACTACAACCCTATGCCATTTTTCTTGGTAGATTACTGTCCCTGGATCTCTTCTCAGAGGTAGTCACTTCCATGTAAACAGTAAGCCAGAGAAAGCTATATCCCAGATATAGCAGCTTCCATACCCTAAGAAGTAGAAAAGAACTAGTCAAGTTTGATGAAGAATAAAATCAAAAGAAAAAAAGTTATTACTGTACCATTCCTAAGCACTTGTCATTTTGTCTGGATTTTATTCTTGGATAATAAAAGTGCATTTGTAGTAGAAACAGCTCAGAGGTATAACTCTCAGTTTCCATTTTCAAGAATAGCAGATGTCAAGACCCAACAAACATTCACTAAGTGAAACTATTAATTTTATAGAAAATATCTGCATCACCTGTCACGCAAGTTAAATCTTCTGTCAGTTGAAATGAGATCATACAGCTGTTGGATATGGGCAAGGCCTGGTAAAAAGACCAGCACAGCACCCTCAATGTTCTTGAACTGCGGGCTTCTGTCTGGAAAGTTATAGTACAGGCACATAGTTAAAACCAACAGTTCCATTTGAGAACAGGAACTACTTCTGGGCCCTGCAGTAAATGCTTTTTAGGATGTTTTGTATAAGAATTAAGTCAAGTACTCCAGTATCAGTAGAGAGCACTGGAAAATAAGTCCAAAGGACAGCCCCAAGTACATAAACTTCTTAGGAAGCAGACTGTACCTAAGTATGCAAGCAACTCCAAAATAAGTTCAAGGTTGATCTTGTAAGGGTTCATATACAGGATAGCTTCCTGCGTACGCCTGCTATACTTGGCATAGTAAGGAGCCAAATCAACACCGGACCCGGACAGGATTGGTACATACTCCTAAAAAAGAAAAGCAAGGAAAAAAGTATATTCTCAGCGTTTTAGAAGAAGGTAAGAGAGCAGAAGGTCAATTTGTCATTCACTTAATTTAGGTTTCTTAAAGAAGAGATTGAGATAAGAGACATTTGACTGACTAACTTCCCACCAAAACCAGTGAGTCAGATTAAATCACAGCCACCTACATAACCTGTGTATAGGAATCTACTACCGTTAGACAACACCTTAGATAAAAAAAAGAAAAAAAAAAGAGTAAAAATTAACATTTGTGCAAGGAATACTACACACTCTGTTCCACAAATGAAAACAGATGGTATCAATTCCAAATGGGATAACAGAGTGGCTACTTTTCTTTCAAAACTCTTATTTTTGGGTATATGAAACCAATCTCCTCTTTCTCCTCTCCCTCACCTCACCCTTCTCAACTAATGGTTGCAATGAAAGTTAGCAGTGTACTAGGTCCAACTCCTGCAGTGTTCCAAAGCAGGACGAAAGGGAAGGAATGGAGAGTAAACAGAACATATAGACATTTCAATTGTTTATAAACAACTTACAGATACATACTTAACATAAAGCTTCTCTGTTAAGCGGCAGGATTGTAAATAACTTCATTGTTAACCAATGCACTTAAAGAAGCTTGCCACTACACATCCTTCCGTATGGAAGGTTCAAAAGAAATAAATCACAGAGAGGTGCACTCCAGAGAGCACTTGGGCTTCAACTGAAGAATGCTGTTGTGATGTATGGGCTAACTACCATTCTAGAAAAAAAATCAGCATGAGAGAATACTTCTCAATACATGCATCAGTGTTTGATCACATCAAGCTATACATTCCTGCAGAGATTTTGAAACAACAAGTCAGAGCAGACAGATGTCTGCCCAAAATATATACAGTCTAGATGTACAGTCTAAGTTGCCTAAAGTCACACAGCATTCATATACTCTTCCCTTCAAAAATTTTGATCCAAAAGCACATACAGCTGTCACTGCAGAGTACCTACAGGATTAACCACAGCCTGCTAAAACAAAAAAGCTCTACACAATAAACTCCTGCAAGTCATCTCATTTGGCATGAGAAGTTGGCAGATCTTGGGAGTTTTTCCGTTAAGAAGGATATGGCCATGCCTCTTCTGTTCTTAGGTTCAGTACTTGGGAGAATTCTGTGGAAGAAAAAACTTAAACACTTTCCCTTGCTGCTACTTATAGATCTGGAGCTTGGAATATGTACAAGAGAACACAATGCCAAATATAGCAAAATCAAGGCAGCTATAAGGGAGCTGGAGGGACAAATATAAGGGTACAGCACTGTAGGACTGCCACTGGGTCTTTCATCACCTGTTGAAAGAATATTTGATATTATACAATTCAATCATATTTAATAAGAGGAATTAAAATGATAAAATAATTTTTAAAAAATTCCAAATCAGAACTAGGAATGCCTATTTTACCTGATACTTTGTAGTGCCTCCTCCTTTGCTAGTAACATTTATTGTTACTTCATCCTCCTCCTCCAAGAACTTCTGGCAATATTCTGAGTCCTTCTCCAGAACATAGCCAGTTGATTCAATTACATCTTCAACATGGAAAATCTTTAGTGAAAATTCACAGAAGAAATACAAGGTATGTCAAAAACTAATTGGCATCTTTTTTGTTTTTTAAAGCTTACATAGAAAGCTGAACAGAGTATGCCCTTTTAATGTTGTAACAGATCTTGCAAATACTAAGTCTATCACAAAAAATAGTACAACCCCAAACTTCAAAGCACTGAAGCTATTTTACATTTTCAAAAAGGGAAAAGAATTACATGTCTTTGAAACAGACATTTAAGAGATTTATTTTTTGTTTAAAAAAAAGTGATATAGGTGTATTTCCTAGACATACTAACCAGGTAAACACTGCATATGAGTATACAAAATGTTTTGTGTAATCAAAGAAACGTATACTTACCTCAACAGGGTAACTCCTCCCTGAGATCCTTAAAATGGGACAGTGTGAGAAATAGCTGGAAAACTTCTCACTGTCTACAGTAGCACTCATTAAAATTAGATGCAGGTCTGAACGCTTATGCAAGATCTCCTTCAGAATAACCAGCAAGAAATCAGACTGTACACTTCTTTCATGTACCTAGAATTAGAAAGACATACCTATAGTACAAGCCAAGGCCCAGAACAACTATAGTTTCTGCAGAATAGTAAGAGCTGATAACCTCGTCTACAATAACATGAGATACACTTGAAAGAAGACCATCTTCCTGAAGTTTCCGAAGCAGGACACCTGTTGTACAGTACAGCAGCCTGGTGGCTTCTCCTGTTCTTGATTCCATACGAATTTGATACCCGCACAGGGAATTCTTAAAAATTAAAAAAAAAAATTAAAAAAAAATTTAAAAAATTTAAAATAGTACAGGAGTAACTTAGAATAGCATGCAAGCTAGAGATATTAAAAATTAAGCGAAGTTTAAGCACTGCTAGATTCAGACACTGCAAAAGTTGCTAATTATGAATTACTACCACACTTTTTTCAGACACACACTTTCCTCTGTTAAGAAAGGGAAAACACACTGAAATCTGCAACTAAGTTTCTTCTAGAGCAGCAAAGAGCTGGTAAACTCAGCATTCTTTTCAGGGTTGTTATTCAGGGGAGTTATCTCCATCTCTAATGACATATTACAGTCTCTATGCATTTGCTCCAATGTTTGACCCTCCTCATTATTAAATGCTCTTGCTCTTAATCACCCTCTAAATATTTTAGAAATCATACATGGATACCTAGAAGTTTACAGGTGACAATCTGTAAAGAAACAGATGACATTGCAAGAAGCCCTTTCTGAGAGAAAATAACATCTAATTACTTGGCTGTGTAAGAAATAATGTTTTAACTCTGTACCAACAATCCAGCCCTCTGTGTTTGACAGAGGCTACAAAAAGAAATTCAGACACATCTTACTTTTCCTCCCGGTCCTGATTCGCAGCCTAACTCTTCACAGACTCTGGTTGCCAGACTCACTGCTGAGATTCTTCGGGGTTGTGTGCAAACAATATTACATTTACTTGATCCTTCATCCAGCAGTAAGTCTTCTAACAAGAAATGGGGCACCTGAGTACTCTTCCCACTGCCTGTTTCACCAGCCACAACAACTACTCGATGTTTTTTAAGAGTTTCTACAATCGAGTATCTATGCTTAAACACAGGTAACTCTTGTCTCTCTTTCAGAAGCCTCTGGTATCTGGAGGAACTTTGCAGCTTTTTGAACAAAATCCTTGAAGGTTCCAAATTATCTGTGTCTGAGGTCTCAAGGGAGAGGCTGTTAATGTCCTCATCAGAAACTAAGTTTTCCCAGGAATCTTCAGGACCCTCAGATACTTTTGGTTCATTTTCAGATTGTAACTGTTGTTGTTGTTTGAGTTTGTTTAATAATCTAGCAATAAAGTTATCACGAGGTTTGTTAGTTTCTATCTTGTTTTCCTCTTCCTTTTTCTTCTCAATATCGCTCCATTCTAGCCAGACATCTCGGTAGGTAGGAGGCAGCAACTGATGAACTGACTTCAGGTGGAAAAAGCAGTGAAAAAATTACTTTATGTACTACTTAGTAGTTATGTACTATCACTAACATTTTATGTGTAAATGAACAGTGGCAAAAGATATGACAAAACATGAAATACGGAGCTATTTCTAAATACAGAAACTATGAAAGCAATAACATAAAGGCCAACAATACACTTTACTTTTAACTGGCTTACAACAGTGAAAGAACAGTTTTACTATCAAAAATATCATCCCTGTATGCTGCAACACATATGAATGATTACAGATAAAATTTAATGAACATTAACACAAGCAAACAATTTAATGGGAAACACTTCATTGAACTGTTTCTAGACTTTAAATACAAATATTACAACAAACAAGTGCAGAGGCAGATTCCAGGCTAAGAAGAGTAATATTGGTAAAAATCTTACTTGTCCTTTGGTTAAATGATAGAGTGCCAAAGTAGCAGCTAGATGTTGTGCTTGCATGCTATCTTCTGTTACAATTGTAGGACACATTGCCATTACATTATCTGATGATTTGGTAATCTTGACCCTTAAGGACAAATTCATATGAGAATTTATCTTAACTTTTGTTACCTATATAAGTAGCAGAAGTGTTAATGTTTTTGTTTAAAACATAGCAGTGGAATTCAAATAGAGAAACTAAGCTAGATAAAATTAATTTTACTCAACAGTATTCTGTACACAGAAACAGCTGATAAAGTTTGATCACAGAACAAAAAAATTTCAGCAGCAGATTCTAGCAGTGAATTTGTGTTTGTTGTTTTTTTTCCTCTTAGCAAGTATCTTAGTTTTCTTCAAAACAGAAGTATTTATACGCATACAGATCACCATTAAGGTTAGTTGCTTTGGAAGAAACACTAAATATTTGTGTGCTTGTAACCACTTAATACAGATTGAGATGACAGTTAATGATTTACTGAGATGCAAACACCTGTTTAACAGGCACACCAGTCACAGCAGCAGCATATTCCTAGGGGGACAGTATATTAGCAGCTTTTAAACTCGAGCAAGAAGACAGGTTTTTTTACTTAGTTCCTGCAAGAAGCATTACTCATTTGTAACACCATGTATACTTTATTTGTACATTATAATGTTCTACTTTATACCACTATATTATACCTATATAATATATAGGTATATACCTATATACTACTACTTTATACCACTATTTATACCACTATACCACTATAATGTTCTACTTTATACCACTATATTATAGACTTGTTTTCTAGAAGAAATTTAAAAATCACTGATACTGCACTGTTTTGGTTAAAGCCTTATGGTAACTTTCATATAAATTTCTAACTTTCACTTTATTTTAAGCAATGCCCAAAGCGTTTTTGGTATTCATATGCTTAAACCCTATGACTTAATATATTACTGTGAATGAGAATACATGAAGTTAGTTGTCCAAATTTATCTCAAATTCACTCATCGGCACAGAATTAAAAACTAGTCCCTTCTTTATGGGACCTTTCACTAGAATTTTATTTTTGTGATAGGGTCCAGTCTAAGCACTACTTTCCCAGAGCTATCCAGTAGGAAATACCTCCCTGGTGCACTAAAAAAGGAGAGTTTGGGTTAAATACACTATATTCATATAAATCTGGATTAACACAACAAGAAAGAAGTATCCAGCATTTATATTTTCAAATGAAACAAAAGGAAAATGTAAAGTTTATATGAAATACATACCTACATTTCCAATATTTTCCAACTGGAACCTTTTCAAAAGCAGGATTTGGGCTCTTGGGATAATTTTTCCTGCACCAGTCAATCAAAAATTGTTTTGGAGATTTACCAGTCCAGCTTCGAGCACTGTAATCAAAATTTCTTATATCTAGTGGTTCTTTCTTTTTCACTACAAGAGCAGAAAGACACATTGTAAGTCTCCTAAAATTTATTTTACATTCCTTTGACAGCCAAGAATGTTTTTACCTTTTTTTCTTTTTTCCAAAGGTATTTTTTACTAGAGAACAATGTTTTCTGAAATGTTTTATAGAAATACTGGTACTAATACATGACAAACTCCTGCTTTTCCCACAAAGGTATCTAGCAGGAAAATTAATTACAACGTTCTGTTTGCCATCTTTGATCACTCAGTAAGAACTTTCACTAAAGTTTGTTTGTTAGAACATAATGTAACAGTTTGAAGGTTTACAATGAAAGTAGTTTAAAAAGATGAGAGGGTGACAATGGAAACAGTAACTAGCACTACAATGAAAAAAGATCAAAATTTTAGACGTGACAGTATGGCAAAAATAGCTTTCACCATCATCTGCTAAAACAAATACAGATCCTTTAAGGTCACCTTGGTCAGTGAGGGAGTCCACCTGCCCTTCCTGCAATCAGAGCTTGATGACTCAGCACTGCAAGGCAATACAACCTAGAAAAATTAAGAACTAATACCAGAAATTTGTGATATGCTTCAAGCTTGTGCTGAACCATTTCCAACGCACCTTTGTCTTCCTTTGCAGCACCATCAGGTTTTTCAAGCAAGCTCAAATCCAAGGTGCTTTCTTGTGGCTGAGGTGAGGGAGTTTTTTTCTTCTCATTTTGTTGTTGGTTTGAAATCTTTACAGCCGGATTAAATACTGGATGTTCTTCAAGCATTGCCATATCTGTCAGAGAGAGACTACAACTTACACCAACCAACTGCTGAGCATTTATTCTTCAAAAAGAAAATATTAATTATATTAATTCATACTGAGCACCCAAAAACAGAAGTAGTGAAACGTTAACAACTTTTTAGAATTTGACTTGTATGAAAAGCATAGATTCAGGAAAGCCTGCAATTCATACAGTGGCGTAAAAATTATGAAGTCAATTCAGTATGACTCAGAGACTCACTTGCATAACAAGTATGCAGGTCACAAAATAAAACACAGGCAATTTGCATAGCTCTACCTTGCTGAATTTTTCTTATTTTCTCCTGTGCTACCTTCTGGCCTTGCTTGTCTTTGTCTTGCTTGGAGATGCTTGCTTGTTCTTTTGCTTCTGAAAGCTTGGCAGCCAGATGTATGTACCTCTCATTCTATTTCAAACAGAATTGTTAATTACAAGTTGAATATTGTATGCTTGTCACTTTTAACGAACGTCACAAGAAAAAATTGGGGGTTTTATGTCTCTTATACCAAGCTTACACAAAGGAGGAACAAGTAGTTTTTATGTGACTAACAGTCAAAACTTCTCAGTATTTGAGAAGTCACCTTCCTAATATCATCGAGATGTGCTTCAAGAACTTTTCTTTTCCAGCACAACATATTCAGTATTTTGACCCCAATACAAAAAAAAATAGGAAAGGGAAAAACTTAGGAAAGGAGAAGTTTCAACACATTTCCCCTTCAGGAGCCTGCAAATGTGAAAAACGGACAACATACTGAGCCTCTAATTCTTAACAAAAAGGTGTACCACTTGCAGATGCACCAGGCATCTTAGTTTTTGAAAGACTTCCATGAAATGTTGTTCTGCCTTACTGGGTCAAACTTTTCTTCATCTGTCTCTTTCACAGACTCGTTCTTCTCTTCATCACTCTGTTGCTCAGCATATCGCAAAATCCATTCCTTCATGCTCACTTCTTTCTCCACATTCGTCTCCTAGGAAGGGCAATGAAAATTAGAAGTAATGATAACAGTAAGTGAAAACACCAGTGCTTTTCTCTGTCAGTATTTAGGAGCTATTGTTTAAGATTTGTAAATAAAGTATGTTATATGACATAAATAACAAAACATGGAGCAAACTTCTCCAACCAGTGTAAACACCTCACAACATACTTACACAGATCTTAACACTTGAATGATTGTAACTGCTGTAAGGAAAAAAAAACCAAAAAAACCAACACTTCTGCAAGAAAGTTTTTAGATTTCTAGGTTTAAGATTCAATAACCACAGAAATCAAACCACTGCAAGTACATAGGCAAGCTTAAACCCACACAAGTACATGAAGAGTCCCATTTGTAAATATGGACCCCCATTCCAGGAGAAAATTAAGCTATGCTTTACCACAAAAAATGAACTACAACCAGACTTCCAAACGTCACACTAAAAAAAACCAAAACCAGTTACCTTCACATGACCATTCCAATGAAGTTAAAATAATGTGGGTAACAACTATTAAGCATACCATATTACAGAAGTTTCTTACATCAGTGTTGGAAATCAATGCAAATTCTGGATTTCAGAAAACTTTGTCCTCTCTTTCCCCAGTAAATACCAATAAATTTCTCAGATTACCTTAGTTTCAGGGCCATTTTCTTTCTTTTTGTTATCTACCAAGCGAGGTGGAGGTTCTCGTCGTGACACAGAAGAACAAAATTTTGCTCTAGGTTTCTGCTGCTGTTCTTCAAACTGCTGGCTAAAGCCTTCAGGCAGGGCATCTTCAAAACAAAAAACCCATGTCACAGAATATGTCAATAACAATTACTGAAAATCTTTTAAAGTGTGTTGGGAGCCAACTAGAAGAACATAAAACAGAAGGAGCATGCTTGAAACAAAATTAGGCTTTAGCTTTAGGTAAGTCAGCATTTGCTTGTTGGACTTCCATAAAACTCTAAAAAGTAGGAATAAGAGGACTACAAAACTTTATGTATTAAAAAAAGAAATCCCAGAACCAGTCATTAGCACATCTAGGAAAGGAACTGTGGTGACTGCCTGTCTTAGTGAAACAACATATTTAATTACTACTATGAAGCATTCAAATGCCAGAGTAGGTTCTATTACTCATCTATTAAAAACTGTTGTCAATTCTCTGTCACTATACTCACCGTCAGGAAGGTTTAAACAAAGCCAGTCAAGCGCAGAGTGAAGATCACCACCATATAAAAGTGTATTTTTCATTGCTTCCTCAATGTGCTCAGTCTTAAAAGAGAATCTTTGTAAAGCCATATATACATCCTATACATAAAAAAATTAGAAAAGGTTAGGATTTAATCTAGCAATCTAATACAGGTTTGCAAACTCCTATTTCCCACATACCAGATAACTGCTGTTAGATGAAGGCAAACAGTATAAATTAATATAGCTGAAGTCTGAGTAGAAAATCCTGTTTTGCACACAGAGCTTATAATAATTTTATTGTAAATATGTATGCATATGTGTAAATACATCTACATTCCAGCCTCTATACAGAATGTATTTTCTAGTTAGAAAGATAAACCTACTATTTTCCAGCTATGTGGAATGAAAAATACAGGAAACATAAAACATTCAGATTAAGTTTTATTCCTCTACCCTGTCTGCAGACTCCCATTTTTGTTACTGAACACATATAGATGTATCTTCCCTAATAAGAACACTTGGTTGATTCCACTGACCGATCACTAATCTAACTACTGGAAAGCACGCTGCACTGGCTTATGCTACATGCACAAGTGTAGTATGACACATGACATGAATGACAAAAAAACCTGTTTATCCTAAATAAGAAACGTTCAGAGAACAACACTTCAAACTTTACCTGCAGTTTCTTAGCAGTAAGCCTTTTGGAAATTATTCCTTTGTCATCATTTTGTTTTTTATGGTCATTAATTACATCAATAATCCTTTTCTCCAAATTACCATTTATCATTACCTGCACAAAAAAAAAAAAATATTGGTTGATACAAAGCAAAATATCACAAATTTTTACAACATATCAATGCTCTTCACAGCTAAGGAAATAAGAAAGCAGAAATCTCTCTGCCATTCAAATCACAACCGTGTCAGCTTTCCCTAGAATGTCAAGGGAAATACTGTAAGGGTATATAAAAAGAAAAAAAACTTCTACGAGAAATAACAAGGCTTTATCCTCCACTTACAAAAACTGGTATAGAATAATTTGATAATCAAGACACAATTTGTGATGCTCTCCTTCCTATCTGGCTTAAAAAAAAAAAAAAGTTTTAGTAAAATAATAATTTTAGTACTATTAACACTTCTAAAACATGAACCAAACCTTGGTTGCTACTGAGGTTGTTGTATAAAACCTGTATTCTTCCTCTGACAGGAAGAAGAATCCACACACACAACAGAAGCCCAAACATAACTCTTAATAGTCCTACATGCAACGTATCATTTGTTACTCAAAATACAGACATTCTCCTGCCCTGTTAGTTTACCCACATTGCTTAAAGCACCCTCAAAATCCCACACACCAAGCTCAAGACAATCAATGTCCAAAACATGTAGTTTACTTACATAATACTGAAGAGCTAAAGAAATATTTACTCAGCCAAGAGTATTATAAAATTCAAAGTTCTTTTACCCAAAGAAGATACTTGCCTTAAGAACAGATTTATCGAGATTTGCAGCAGCACTGGAATCTGTTGTTGAACTAAAACTGTACGTTTTCGGACCTGCAAATTGCAAATAACCACCAATTACATGAGCAGAACACAGAGAATATTGTTTACAGTAGCTAAAGCAGACTGAACATAACGCAGGTTAGTGCAAGCAAATATTACACTAATTTGCCAAAAACACACGGGTACTTAACAAGAAAAAGAATAATCAATGGTACAGAAAGGCCCTTGAACAAAGAACAGTGAAGGAGGGTATGGCTCTTGGCAGACAAAATATAAAACCTCAAGTGGCACAGCGAGAGGAAATGGGACTGACTGCCTGCTCACTCTCCAGCACTGGAACGAGGAGTGCCACATAGGGAAGGTAGTGGCAGGTTCAAAGCAAGACCTTTTTTTTTTGACTATGAAGAGCACAGCTACACAACAGAACTGTTTGCCCCTAAAGTTGTGGATACTGGACATTTACCTAAGTGCAAGGGCACACAGGATAGCTTTGTTGTAAAGAAATTAATCAGTTTGGGAAGGCATCGAAATATTATTGTACGTGGCTCGGGAAGACCCTGAGCCACAGCTGGAGCTGGTAGAGAACGCAAGAGCATCTCATGGCAGTATCACTGCACATCCAGCCTGTTCTTACGTAGGTACCTTTGGCCCCTACCTAGGGGGGGCCACTGGATTACAGAGACCTTTGGCCTGACCTACTATGGTCTTTCCTAAGCACTTTAGCAGCTGTCAGAAAAATATTAATTCAAAAAGCTATTTATTGTCATTAGAAGGGTTTGGCTGCTCACAACACAACACACAGCTTGCTGTTGGATACCATTTTCTTCAGAACACATATACTGTTTCTGGTAACTGCACAGACAGAAAACGAGCAGCTCACAGCTTTCCCCCAGAGAGAGCAGTGCTCTGCTCTCCTCCCAGCAGGCAAGCTGAACAGCTCATCTGTGCTGGGTGCCTGCAGGAGGCTCCAGGAGAGCCCATTTTTAGATCAGGACTGGCTGTAGGTAACTGCACTTCAGAAAAAAAACCCACAGTCATCTGGTCAGGAGCTGAAAAGAGCCGTCAGCACCCACGAGCCAGTCACTGGCGCTCACTGGGAGGCTGTGCAACCACAGACTATTTAGACGATACTAACTTCTCACTTACACTGACTTATTTGTCACCACAGCAGACAACCTGGGAGACAATCAGGACAGTTTCTGAAAAGAACTGAGCACCATGGTGTTGAAAGAGCAGGAGACACAAGAAATGTGTTCAGCTGAGGTCAAATTTTAAAAAGCAGAGTACGTGAATAGGTTCAGGAAGTTTAAATCAATGGATTGTAAGACTCTGTGTTAACAAGCTGGAATCTCAAATCGCCTGCTCATTGCATGATTTGCTCAGAGCCTGCAACACAAGCTGTTACTGATGTTACAAGGTAACTGAGCTGCTTCTGGCAAAGCTGGCTTATTGAAAACAGACATCTCAGTGCTGCGGAACACTTGCTTTCCAGACTGCACCCAGAACAGTCATCCCTCTGCTCATCCAGCACCGCTGAAGCATCTCCAGCTCTGGAACTGCTCTGGGCTTTGTTTATGACACAAAAACCCATATCCTAAATACACGTGGCATTGGTTTGAGCACATACGGAATGATCGCCTACAAAAGAAGCTCAGTGCCGGGAAAGCGCCACAGCAACACCTGCTCAGCAAGAGCTGCCGGCCACCGAACGGAGACCTCTGTCACTAACTCAGCACAGCGCAGCAGCCAGGCCCATCTGCTCGGGAACGCCCCAGGACGCGAGAGGCGCTGAAGCCAGGCCGGACAGCCCCGAGTCAGAGCGCTCAG